TATATATATATATATATATATATATATATATATATATATATATATATATATATACTATATATGTTACTATTTTATTATTATTTTATTTTAAGAGTATAGCTAAGAATAAATATAAAAATAGTATTTTACAATATTTATATAGAAAGTAAATTTTATATATACGTATTTTTATACATCCCAGATATGTATAAAAGCATAAGATCAAGTAAGATATAACATATAACATATAACAAGATATAACAGCATAAGATCTCCTACGGACGTTCTGAGAACGAACAAATGTCCTCAGGACTTCCTCAGGGTGTACTATGGATGTTCCCTGGACATCTGTGCTGTTAGGGATGATATATTCATATATAAAATTTTTATATAAGAATATTTAAAGTTTTTAAATTTAGTGAAGAATTATATAAAAATATATCACTTTATGATATTTAAGTGTGTTCTCTTCTTTAATTTAAAAGATATGTTATATATATATATATATATATATATATAATAGCTGAGTCGGGAATTTCTTATTAAAATATATATCAATATCAATTTATAATACTATTTAACACTATCTTTTTATTTATTTTACTAATGTATTTTTTATTAATTGTTTATTAATTTTATTAAATTATTAATTTATTAATTTAGTAATTTTATTAAAAGTATCAAATTGTTTCCTTTATTTCTTTTATATTTTTTAGTATTACTTTATTTTATTATTATTTAATATAAATTTAATCTTTGTAATTTTAATATATATTTAATTTAATATTATTTTAAAAATTAAAATTAATGTAAAATTAGTAATAACTTGTTTGTTTTTTAGTTGACGTTACTATCCTTAATTTGTTAGTTTTATTATAATTTTTTATCATTTTAATTCATATTTAATTGATTTTATTGTTATTCTGTAAAAATATATTATAAATTAATATATTTGTTTCTTATGTTTGTTAGATGACGATTGGCCGCTCCTTTACCATTTTTGTTATTCTCATCATGTATTCTCAAACGATGTGTTCAAAAACTCCAACTCCAATGCGATATACTTTCCCATCGCTCGAAAAGACTTTTAGAGGCGGACCAACTATTAGAATCGATGTTTCTAAGCCGATTATTACGACTACCACCACCATGCGTCCGCTTAACATTCAATCATTTCCAAGATTGTATGATTTTATCTTTAGTTTCTCTAACGTTGGTCTTCGAAGAATTGGTCCAGATTTTATCAAGAACGACATGATTATTAGTCTTAGCTTGGACAATAATGAGATAAGTGATATATCACCTTTAGCCTTCCGTGGCATGCGGAAGTTGAAATATCTAAATCTTTCTGGAAATAGAATTCCGACAGAACAATTATTTTCATTCAATGTCGACGGGTTACAAACTCTGATTATTGACAACAATAATCCTATAAATTCTATAGAAATAGAAAACGATATAAAAAATCCTCACAAATCCGTAAAATATGGAGTCTTTAAAGGATTGGAGCATCTGCACATATGCAACAGTCAATTAAAAGATTTCCATATAGATCATTTGACGATGCCTGCCTTGACTCATTTGTATCTGAATAACAACAGCATCGAATCCAGCGATATTATTTTCAATAATATCCCAAATACATTAAGAAGTATTTTCTTGGACAATAACCAGATCGACCGAGTCAAAACGCATAACCTTAGGTACTGATATTAATCCCCTACATTTGCACGATTTTTTCTCTTCTTCAGAAGAGTGATAATAAAATAAAGAAAGCTACAGAAGAAATATTATAGATATAAAAACTAAATTTTGAATGGGTATTGATAGCGTTGTTATACTATTTTTCTGTTATTGTCATTGTTATTATCGTTACTATTATTTATGTTTCTTTCTCTGACTTTCAATCGTTAATTTTTAACAATTGATTTTAGGTACTTGCAGGAACTTGTTATGGACGGCAACACTATCACCGAAGTGTGTTTTGAGCATTGTGAGAAAGAATCTAGCATATCTTTGAGAGGAGCTAATAATATGAAAAAGTTATCTTTATCCAAAAATCGGATTTCCAAAATATCGGCTGATGCTTTTAAAGACACCAAAGAACTGTTATATTTGGACTTATCAGGAAACAACATCACTGAGATATCCAAAGGTACCTTTAACAATATTGGTATGATGAAATATCTCTCTTTAGCTGATAACAAACTCGCTACCATACCTACGGATATCTGTTCGTTGATACACCTAATGAGTTTGAATCTGACTGGAAACTATATCACCACAATCCACGCCCACAATTTCTGTCATTCGAAATATTTGGAAAGTTTGTATTTAGCAAATAACAATATAACCTTTATCGGAAGTCAAGCTTTCATGCAACTTCACACATTGAAATATTTGGACCTCTCCGGAAATCAACTCTGGCAGCTTCCGCAACAATGGGTGTATATGTCCCTTGAAGAATTACATCTAGAAAGAAATAATTTCGGAAATTTTGACGATGTAACATTGACTAATATGATGAAGCTAAAAAATGTATATCTCGACGAAAACCCAATACTAAATTTGAAAGCAGTGTCCTTCAGATCACTATCAACATATTTGACAGTGCATATAAAGAATATGCAAATCAAGAGCATCGAATATAAATATAACGATACCAGTAATGAAAGTGAATACGAGTAAATGATGAATACGAGGTGAATAAGTGATGAATCAGTGAGTAATAGATGACGATAATAAAAGGGATGATGACAACAATATTTTTCCTTATATTTCTTATTTTAAGATGAATTAACTATTAGTGATTTTTCTTTTAATGACTTAAAGAGAGTATATTGTCTTTTCTATTCTTGAACTTATATTCTTGAATTTATATTTTGTTCATTTTATTATTCCTAAATAAATTCTATAAATATGCTAAATAAGATATAAGATAAATATGTTAACTGTAAACTTTTAAACTCTATTCTTTAAATTATCTTTTATTATAGCTTTTATTCAATATCTTATGCACCTCATATAAGGTATACATGCGTAAAGTAGTATTTTAGAGCTTTTATGATACAATGTTAACCGATTTAAAGCAATAATAGTATTATTTACTTTTAAATAAATGTTTTACTCTTAAGTAAATGTTAAATATTATTTTTGCTTCATATGTTGTTTGCACAGCATATCTTATCGTTCAAATTTATTTTTAAGCTACATAGTTTATACAAGTATTTTTACGTAAGCTAATGCTTTATTATAATTATTATAACACATATATAATTAGGAATTAAAATAAGTTTTAAAAAATTATATAATATACAACATAATCATGTATCATTTTTATATTTTTGAGACAAATGCATTTTAATAAATATAATTACATCAGCATATGCAACACACCTTATTTGCACATATATTGTATTAGTATATTTTATATCTTCATGAACATATTAATTTAATAATTTTTTCGTTCTTTTATTATTTTCTTTTATTCAGCTCAATAATTGCAAGTTATTCCATATTTAATATGTCTAAGATTTACTATATGATGTAAAAATTTATCTGAGAGAAAAACTTATAAAATTATTTTTTTTCTCTGAACTAATTCTTTGCGTTATTTAAAAATATAATTTTTTTTATTTAAACAAAAATATATGACGTCTTATGTCTAATTAGAATTTACTTTAAGGAGATGCTGAAGTCGATGGCGTACTCGAAATAATATTGATAACGCAGAAATGATTACCACTAACACAATTACGCTATCTCTTTTATATTTCTTGTACATACAGAAATGTTACGTAAATATGTTGCTTTGTTATACCATATTCGGTAAAAAATCTAACCATGCATGTGTAGAAATCTTTCTGCAAACTTTTCGGATTTTCTTTAGCTTCTGAATTCAGATGCGAAGGTACAGTAATGTTCTTCAAAATTTTTCTGTTTGAAGCATTTACACTTTCGGTATGTACAAATTGCGGAATTTTTGGATTAGGTAAATATTATGTTAATTGATAGCTTGAGATTTTATATTTAAAACTTTTTTGTCTTCGCCATATTAAACAACGCACTTATTTATTTTTGCACGTATTTTCATTACGTTAAATATTTGTAATTCTGTATAATCAACGTAAACTGCATACAACGTAAACTTTGCAGAAAAATGTAATTATTCTGTCGGTAAAGTTTTCAGCTTCAGCATTCCCTTAACAAAATCATTTAGGGCCGGTTTTTCAATGATAGTTTAAACTTAGATTTCAACTTAAACACAGTTTAAACAAAACAAACGCATTGTTAGAATAGAGTTTAAACTTGAATCTAAGTTTAAACTGCTATTGAAAAATCGGTCTTTAGGGGCAATTTAAGTTTAAACTTTATTCTAACAATGCGTTTGTTTTGATTAAACAGAATTTAAGTTGAAATCTAAGTTTAATTATCATTGAAAAATCGGCTCTCTTAGCTAGAGCAAATGTTCAGCGTCATCTAGTGGCACCACAAAATACCGTATTACGAATAATGGGTTTGAAACTCGGCTAAATAATCCATTTGTTTTACTAGTTTAAGAGTCTCTGCTAAGAGTCGCCACTATCTTCATTGAAAAATCGAAATCGTAGTAGCAAGTAAGTAAATAATCTAGAGATTGGATAAGCAAATAATCTCATTGTTGTGTACAAATTCTTAGAGAAAACACTTTACTTTTATATATCTAGAGGTCGGATAGGCTAGTTCTTAGACCTGTACACTTCTATTGTACACCCTTTATTTCAATAAAAAAAAAAAAAAACAAAATCGTAGTATGACTCAAAAGCAAGTCAGACAGATCTCTTATTTTTAAGTGGTATGACTCAAAGGCAAGACAACCTTTCATTTTCAAATAGTACTTAACAACAGAAAAAGTAGATTTTTATTTTTCGTATAAATATATCCAAATATAAATATATCCAAATAACAGATCGGATAAACATTCATTTTTATATATCATTGAAAAATAAAATAAAGAGATTACCTGACATTAAGTTATGCTATCAAAAAATAAAAATCCAAATATGTTGCGCAGTGAAAAGCAACGCGAAAGCTAATTAATTACTCATTTTTTAAAATAATGAATATATAATGAAAGATTGATCGATTATCTAGCTGTTTTTTATCATATGGTATATAAATAACGTAATTAAGTCCTGTGTATTTATTAGTGCTATTAAATATCATTACTAATAATCAAACAGGTATAAAACAGTTATGAAAAAACAAATAATTAATCAATTACTTTTCATGTTTTAAAGTTATAATCGATTATTTGGTCCTCTACCAGGACTGATTGGGTTGGGTAGACTCGAGGTGTCAAGGTAGTTGAGCCTCACCCCAGGGTGTCGGTTACGCAAAGGGTAGCGAATATACGCATGCGCACGTCGTCTTGCGTTGCATGAGTGAGATGACAACCGTGCAAACGAAGATAGCAATATAAGAAGGGACGCGCGCGTTCCATGCGTGAGTCAATGGCAGGGAGGGTGCACGATGGACACCAGGCGTGAGAAAGACAGAGAGAGGGTGGGAGCTCAAGCACGACGAGTGTTGAAGTTCGGAATAGCGATGCAAACAGAAACTTTATGAGAAAAGCATTCTATCCAGCAAATGCACTACATATAGAAACATTATACGAACATTTTACAGAAAGATAGCACTTAGATTTGAATATCTGGCAGATATCTTCGTTTTTTCCTTAATTTATTTTTATATAATTTTAATATTTTAATTTAAACATAAACAATTCTATATGTGTTAACAATACACGCACATAATTTAAATAATATTGCTTTTCATGTTACTTTGGAAAGTGTCTAAGTAACTTGAACATAAAAATAAATTTATTTTAGAAGATACTATCTATATGTTATGTTGAAAAGGGAGGGGATTCTGGATATGTTGAGCCGTCCCTATGTATGCGACCCTGGTCCAGAGTTGTAGGGGATGAAAGAGGAAGAAAGTACGAGAGAGAGAGAGAGAAAGAGAGAAGGGTGATGATAAGGGGTACAAGTTGTAACGAGGATGGAAAGCATAGGAGGATGGGAAAAGGCGTGGATAGTTCTGGAAAGAGATAGAAAAGATTTAAGAGCGATAAATATAACTGGATAGACAGTATGAATAAATGCGTGTAAAACAGTGATGATCAACAAGATTATTCGTAAGATAATATCATTTTTAATCAGAGTAAAAGGAACTGTGCAAATATTATGCTTGAAAAGTAGAAAGATATAAATTCAGAGTTATTTTTTTTTAGAAAGAGGCTGTAAGAGTTCAAAATTGCAACTTCTGAAAGGCTATGGTTTTCCGACATAATTTGTCCTAAAGGCACAACAATCAGATCAAATTATTTCATTACATCACGAAGAAAGTATCGAAGATTTGCGGGGACCATGCTACAGCCATCCCTGGTGTAGAATAAGAGAAGGGAGGGTATCCGTTGTAGTACGGGGAAAGAGATGCGCAGATCAGGGTGTCGTGGGAGGGCTCGACAAGGACGAAGATATAAATACGGGGTGTAGAAGAAGCGATAGAAAGAGAAAACGGCGGGGATAGGGGTGGCCAGAGGGAGAGGACGCACACAAGCGAGTACAAGGTAGCGTCGCGCCGTAGAGCGTGACGAGGAACGAAACTACAGGCAGACGCGCGCAAGCAGACACGCGGAAGGCGGCGGCGACGGCGTTTCTTCGCGAGCTCGGTGGTACCGTCGACCGTCAATGCAATAAAGTCGACAAGGAAGTAGGTATCGGCTGGCACAGTGAAGCAGACGAGGAGAGAGATACCTCTGGCGAGGGTGGTAGTGGTGGTGGTGGTGGTGGTGGTGGTGATGGTAGTGGTGGTGGTAGTGAGGTGGTATATAT